CTGCTATCACAGTTTTTAAGGCTAAAGTCACTTGAACGAAATTTGCTGAACCATCATTGACACTTACGCGCGTTCAAAATATTTCCTTAAACTTCTTTGATATTCTTTGTGGCTACAGAGGCGTTGTTTCCTTTCTTATATTCAAACAGCATTACATGCCAAACGTGTGTCTCGTCGTGTGCCATCACTATAAGATATTAGAGTATACTAAACTTTACACATTATATAGGCTACACTAACATGATGTTTAGGCAGTTCGTTTAACTATTATACGTAATGTACGTTTGGGATGGGGGGGGGGGGTTAATGAAAGCGTTCCAAAACGCGACATTAATTTCTTGACGACCTAATATATATCAATAAAAAAATAAACATATAAATATATACAGTAGTAATAATATTAAAAAAAAAACTATTCAAAAGCGCTCGAGTTTGGGGTTTAATTTGAACTCGTTCAATTCACGGTTGAATCGGTCATTTAAGCCGGCAATCGGTTCTTGGCGAAATCACTGAATTATCTGCATTAAATATTTCATTAAAAAAATTAACAATTGTAGTGTGATAATATATTAACAACAACCTTTTCTAAGTTGGCGAAGCATGTTTATAATTATTTATACTACAAGTATAAGTAATGAAAATATATTAACTTCAAAATATTTCAAATGCTCCAAGTACACCTGGACTGTTGCCCAAATAAAATTAAAGCAACCATATTTTCCATTACAAGTACATTTTATTTTGAAAATTCAGATAAACTTGACCGGAATTTTAATTGAAATTGGGCAAAAACTGCAAATATTTATTGATAAGAAAGCCCCTGGCAACAGGAGAAGACTTTATGTAAATTACAAAAAAATTCTATTTAACAGGTTTGCGCACGGCGGGCTTTAAATCTCGCCCGACGTGAAGACAAGTGGACTTATATTCTATTTAACAGGTTTGCGCACGGCGGGCTTTAAATCTCGCCCGACGTGAAGACAAGTGGACTTATATTTCGGTTTTTATTCAGAGAATACGACCAGAGCAATCATCAGCTAAACGGAAACCTAGAACGCTTGAATTCAGCTACGCCCTCTCATAAACTATCGATTGGGACCGCGGAAACCCGTTATTGACAGAGCGGTGAAGTGTTATTAACCTCTAATTGTAAACAGGCACGATCAGTACGAAAGAGTGTGTTAGGGTTTATTTTGCGCCAAAAATATCATCATATTGGATTTATGTTTTCCATATTAGACTAACATTAGTTTTTGAATAAGGTAGATGAGCCCTGGTTCGAGTATTGAAAATAATCCCGTGAGATAAATGTATGAAAGTTGAAAATAGCCGACTGAGACGCATATGAGGGTTGAAAATAGCCCTGTAAGATGTATATGTGAGGGTTGAAAATAGGCCACTGAGACCCATGTATGAAGGGTGAAAATAACCCGGTGAGAGACATATATGAGGGTTGATATATAGCCCAGGGAGACACATAGAGAGTGAAAGTGCGACTCAAACCCTCACAAATGTTAGGAAAACAAAAAAAAAAAAGTAAAGGCGGATCAAATATAAAGAGTCGGGAACACCGCAATATGTAACTATAACTACACATGCAATGTACGAGTAAGCAAAGATGCAGCTGGCAGACTCTAAAGCTTTGGTGACGAGGCTACTTTACCATGAGAAATTTTACTTGAAATCCAGGTGGCATATCCTATTCCAGACAAGAAACGTTTACTGAGTGTCATTAAAAAAATAAATCAATAATAATAAAATAACTGAAAGTGTGAGGCAAAGCAAGCTTTCAGGGGGTCAGTGACTTACGCGATAGTTCACATGAAGCACCAAGCCACAACCGAATCTTACAAACACATTCTTTTGTTGTTTTATTCAAGCTGCAACCTCGTACTTGTCACGTTCTATTGGCAGTCTTTTCTTTGTGTAAATATTTTTTCATTGGTGCTTCGTAGTTTCTAAACTATTTATTATTTAACAACGCCTCCTGATTTTTAGGATTTATCAAGTTTTTTTTAAGGCTGCCTTTTTCAACATATTAGTTTACAACCATTAGCGCGCCCCCCTCCCCAGTGGTTCAGCTCTGGACTTATCCGCTAAAAACAGGATTTCGATACTTGTGGTGGGCACAGTACAGATAGCCCATTGTGTAGCTTTATGCATAAATTTAAACAAACAAACTTCGTGCTTAACTAAAAACAAACAAACACAACCATTAGAAGTAATGGCTTGAAATAAGCACGTATTATTTAATATCAACGTTGGCTGGGTCTTTAGCGGATGTTAAATATCACACAATTTCAGAGGACAAAGGAATCCCTATTGGGAGAGGATTACTCTTGGTATGCTTAGTTATCGAGGCTTAAGCCTAATTAAATGAGTTATATATATATATATGTATATGTGATGTAAACATAAACATTATCCAGAAGTTAAGTTAATATAGGAGTACAGTTCTAAATATACCTGATATACGGATAAACCTGAACCTTAGGAGTACAGTTCTAAATATACCTGATATACGGATAAACCTGAACCTTAGGAGTACAGTTCCAACTACATCTGATGTACGGATACACCTGAACCTTAGGAGTACTGTTCTAAATATACCTGATATATGGATACACCTGAACCTTAGGAGTACTGTTCTAAATATACCTGATATATGGATACACCTGAACCTTAGGAGTACAGTTCCAACTACATCTGATGTACTGATACACCTGAACATTAGGATAAGAAAATATTGTTTGTTTGTTTTCTCACAGGTAGAATGCCACGCCTACTTGTCCCAGTCAAGTTTTTATGAGTATTGCGCACGTCAGAACATTACATTTACAGCTTATTTGCCTTTGGGTTCGGTGGACGCCAACTCGGAATTCTCTAAGTAAGTATTGATTGTGTAATTAAAGTAGTGTCAAAAAATGAATCGAAATATGATCATATTTATCTGTCTATAAATATCAGTGTTTCCAGGGTTCATTAATTAACGTGCGCAGCTTCGATTTCGTGGCTCGCGTTCCGTTACTGTCAAACTATAAAAAACTGCACTCCGCAATTCGGGACCGTGTTATAAGGGCTATCTGTGCTGTACCCACCACGGGAATCGAAACTCGGTTTCTAGCAGTATAAGTCCGCAGATATACCACTGTGCCACTGGCGTTATAAGGATGACTGTCTAATACTATTATTCTGCCTGACGAGAGTAGCCATAGAGTTGGCGGTGGGTGGTGTTGACTAGCTGCCGTCCCTCCAGTCTATCACTTCAAAATCATAGATAACTTGTGCCGATAGCTCTCACGTAGCTGTTACGCGAAATCCAACATAACAAACCAAAACTCGCGTATCAATACGAACGCCGCTTACACAATAGTTGTTTGACGACAAAAGTGAACAGATTATATTATCTGAGAAAGACCTGATTAAACTTTTGTGAGACCTTCACATGGATATCAAGCTATGATACTTGTGATGCCCTGCGTAAATATTTATCGTTTTACAAACCATATAATCTTCGAATACAGTCATAGATGACAATACAATTGATAAGATACGGCATGTCAATACTGTATGTACGATAATATTGTATTCGATTTTATATTGATATGTTTTCAAGTCCTTAAATAATTCAGCGTTTTCATTAGTCCGATAAAGTGAAAGGGGTAACCCATTAATCTTTACCATTTTCTTCACTTCTTTCTTAGATGCCCCCAGTGGTACAGCGGTAAGTCTGCGGACTTACAACGCAAGAAACCGGGTTTCGATACCCGTGGTGGTCAGAGCACAGATAGCCCTTGTGTAGCTTTGTGCATAATTAAAAACAAACAAACATCTTTCTTAGATGTTCAGAGGGATTGCACTTTGAATGTCCGTAAGTTCAAAGGGTGATCGTTATGTAGCGCAAAGCTCCACTGCGTGCAACGTTGATGGAGTCAATCGCAGGGATCGAACTCAGAATTTTAGCGTCATGACTTTAAGCTTGACCTTGCAATACTCGGAGAACACAATAGCGCAAAGCTCCACTGTGTTCAAGCTAGACAGAGCCAACCACAGGGATCAAACTTCGGATTTAAGTGTCACACCTTATTGAACTTGACGCTGAATCACCGAGAAGTTGGATACAGCTAATGAAAGGTATCACGTAGTTCAAAAATAGTATAACTGGAAAAGTTTTATGGTGTTTTCTTCGTGTAGAACTACACAATGTGCTATCTGCATTAAGTACACCGCAAGGAATGGAGCCTCCTCTTTTTGGCGTTGTAAATCCGTAAACCTACCGTTGTCCCACTAGGTCCAAAGAGGACATCGATCTTTGAAATCGTTGCACCACAGAAATTTTATTGAAGGTTTCACAACATTAAACGTGGTTCTGCTAGCAGCCTTTTTTTTTAAATCAATTTTCAGAAATGTTAATGATGATTTTTTATGTTGCTACAATTACTTCACACTGAATTTTTGTTTTCAATTTTCAGAAATGTTAATGAAAATCAAAAGCCAACTAACGACAAAGTCTTAGTCCCTCTTTGTTTAAAATATCGAAAAACCGCCGAGCAGGTAAGTCCTCTGTTCTCCACTTAATTTACCTATCCGCATCTATACTTAAACAACAATATCTGTTTAAAGTATCGAAAAAACTGGTGGACAGGTAAGTTCTCTGTCCGCCACTTGATTTGTCTATTCACCTCTATAGTTAAGTCAACAAACGCTATTTAAACTATTAAAAAACAGGGGAACAGAATACTTTTGTCCATTATTGCCTTTACCTATCCAACAATTTTAATATAACTCTTAAACAGTTACATCCATTTTAGTGGGAGAGTATGTCCTGACTAATTTAAATAAATAAAATAATTAAATCCATTATTTTTTTCTCAAGTTGTTATTACACCTATACTAACTAACCAAAGAGTTTAGAGAATAAAACGTTTATATTTTTGTTTTATTTGCTGTTACTCTTCGCTCTTTTCTTTTTACGTTGTTTATACTTAAATCCGTAATATATTTTTTTCAGATTTTATTACGTTGGCTCATACAGAGAGGCATTGTTGTTATTTCCAGAAGCGTAAGAATACAGAAATTGAAGGAACATTTCAGAGTAAGTTTTGTCGCCACTAACAGGGAATTTAATAAGCTATTAAAATTAGTTATGTTATTTCCAGAAACGTGAGAATACAGAACCTTAAGAAACATTTCAGAGTAAGTTATATCGTCACTTATAAGACGTTTAATAAACTATCATAATTATAATTAATTACACTTGTGATACGACACTAGTATTAGACCTATTTTATTTTAAACGTAGTCTATCAAAATCACATAGGCCTAATATTAATGTCATATTACGAATATAAGTAAGGTTAAATAGTTAGGCACCTTCCGACTGCTTCATTTAAGTAAGAAGGGTTTATAATTCAGAACACTCATTGTTTTATTTATGTTAGAAGGGTGTCTAGTTCAGCACCTTCTGACTGTTTTATTTGTTGGGTTAGAAAGGTGTTTAGTTCAGCACCTTCTGACTGCTTTATTTGTTGGGAGGGAAGGGTGATTTGTTCAATACATTCTGACTGCTTTATTTGTTAGGCTAGAAGGGTGTTTATTTTAGCACATTCTGACTGAATTATTTATTAGGTTAGAAGGATGTTTAACTTAATACATTCTGACTGCTATATTTGTTATGTTAGAAGGGTGATTTATTCAATACATTCTGACTGCTATATTTGTTAGGTTAGAAGGATGTTTAACTTAATACATTCTGACTGCTATATTTGTTATGTTAGAAGGGTGATTTATTCAATACATTCTGACTGCTATATTTGTTGGGTTAGAAGGATGTTTAACTTAATACATTCTGACTGCTATATTTGTTGAGTTAGAAGGGTGATTTGGTCAGTATCTTCTGACTGCTTTATTTGTGGGTTAGAAGGGTGATTGTTCAAAATTTCTGACTGCTTTATTTGTG